CACATACATCATCACTCTCTCTCACATCTCAAAGACAATAATTTGGATGTTAATGATGTATGCGTTTTGGTGTATCTCAAAGACACCAAAACACACACATCATTAACTTTCAAAACATTGTCTTTCTCAAAGTTTGCAGTAGTCAGTTCAGTTCTGGTTTCTTTTTGGATTTTGTGTATTTAAAATATTGTCTTTCTCACTTTGGTGGTTCGATTATGATCAGGATCCAAAGATCTCAAAGGTAAGATATCATACCTCTTAGGATCTCATTTTAATTTTCGTAGGCTACCAAAATTAAAAAATAATTAAATCTTAAAAAGAAATAAAAATTAAGACGGCGGTTTACAGAGAAGGCACCGTCGTAGTATACAGACGTGGATTCCATTATATTATACGACGCGGAATAAGAACAGTTGGTCGTGTTTAGTTAGGAGTTAACACGGTAGGTTTTTTGGTGAATTGTCGTCTTTATGTTCTACGTCGGTGGATTCATACCTGCTGTCGTTGTTTTTTGGTCATATTTTAACTCTGAAGAAAACCTTTTTAAAAAAACAACGCTTTTTATTTGTGTACGTCGTCTTTTAAAAATATTCAACAATAAGGCACTTATCCACGACGGGTTTTTTTTTTACCGTCGTCGTTTGAAATACAACGACGGTTGTATGTTCTGCCATCGTCTTTTTATGGTCGTCTTTTTCTCTTTTTGTAGTAGTGATTTTTCATAGAATGAAATTGCAAGACAGATACTATGCAAGTTTAAGTCTAATTATGTACAATTAATTACCTTATCTGATCATAGGCAAAAGTTTAGCACAGTTAAATGTTAACCAAACTAGTTTATTAAACAGACATAGACAACTTATGTCAAAAACCAAGGAATTAAAATTCTTACTTTCCTGCTACGAAGGGAACACCCTTTCTGGAGTTAGCTGGTATCTCCCCTTGTAAGCCGGGAATGATCTCAGTCATTGCTTGAACAATCTTAGGATCTTCACTGTAGCTTTCATAACAGCGACCCCATCTTGGATCTCTGCAAACCTGCACGGATAGAATTAAGAGGAATCACAGCTCAGCTTAAAGTGACTTATGTTGATACTTGTCAGATGAACGATATAATTCTAGTTACCGCTATACAAGGGGCAAAGACATATGGAATGCCTGTAGCTCTAACTTCAAGTGCAGTTGCAGCTCCGATCCTCTTAACAAGTTCCGGATCCCTGATTGATTTAAAGTTTGAGGAAGTTTATATTAGTACAAATTTTATCTTCGTAGAATTTTCTATAGTTTGAACTCTTAAGAAGACTAAAGGCTAGCAGTTGAAGAAACAAATTTCTCAATTTTCTCATATATGGAATTGGCTCATCTCCATCTTTACACAACTTTACTTCTATCTGGCTTTGAATATTACATCACCAGAGACAGGAAAAGAAAACATTCACATGGCATCTTGAGACAAGGATTACAAAACAACTAAGCAAAATTTTAATATTGAGGGCATACTACTTGCCTGGTGGCTCCGAGCCCAATATTGTGAGGAAAGATTGTTGCCTTGTAGACGTTGTTGTGGCCATGAACAGCATCAATACCATAAATCAATGGAATCCCAAGACGAGTTGATAAAGACCCCTTTTGAAAATCATTGACCATGTTAATCCAAGTTTCTGCAGAAGCCTTTTGTGCTGGAACGCTCCCACCCCCGCTTAATATGCTCCCTGCCCAAAACAGATTTCTGCTTCCATTAAATCCAACTTACATACAAATGAAGAAGTGGCACTATTCTTTTTTAATCTGTATAGGTTTTGTTCACAGAGAAAAGAAAATTGATAGTGTTATTTACCAATGAAGTACTTCTTCATCACCTCAGCTGAAGCGACACTGCGGTCTATCTGCACCATTTGGCCAATCTTTTCCTCCAAAGTCATCCGGCTCACTAAATCCTTGATTCTAGAATTTAATGGCTGTTTGGGGTCTTTATAATTAATGTATTGTGCTTGAGCTATGGCTATGTAGAAACATAAGAAAAGAAGTCCCATCAAGAAGATGGGAATTCTAGCAATTTCCTGTTCAAATATTGTTACAGATGAATGTAATCCTCAATTAGAAAGCCACTCAGGCAGGAGGTACAGATACATGAAGAGGAATTCTCACCCAAAATTCTGAAAAAGAAAAGAGTTCTAAAACTAGAACATGAAACAGTGTAAAGATGAAGAAAATTTCAAGAAAAGTATAAAGTGCATCTTATGTATCTCAGGAATTCAAGCACCAATGGAATAGTTGCAATATATTTATAAATAAAAATTTTTTAAAAAACCTGCAGCTAAAATTAGGCCCAGAGAAAGGAATCAAAAAGACCCTTGTAGCAAAATAGGGAGCTAAACAGAACCCAAGTTTCAAGCAACTACAAAACTACAAAAAAAGTTACATTTCTTCAAGTGAAAAACAGAGAAAACAGAGCACAACCAAAAGTCCAATACAAAAAAACAAAAAATAATTTTTGACTCTTTTTGAAGAACTGTTTGGTGTCTAAGAAAAGAAAGGAGTATAAAAGAAAATTGGGATTTTGAATTTATGGGATGGTGTTACTGTGTCATTTAGTTGGAACCAAATTCTTGAAACCAAACTGAGAGCTGAGTAATTGAATCACCAATAGGCTCAGTTCAATAAAGCCTTTCATCATTCTGGAACCTAAAAATTTCTCTTTTCTCAGCAAACAAACAAGGCATTAAAGATCTTGCATGTGGAACAAAATTCACTAAAAAGTAAGAACTTACAGATACTAATGGAGACCCAAAAGGCAACGACGTCTTCTCAGTTGAATGGAGAGAGAGAGAGACAGAGAGAGAGACAGAGTGACAGAGAGAGTTGCAAGAAAAATGTGAAGTTGGGATTTGAAAAATGTGTATGGCAGAAGTGGATTTTATAGAACATTTGCTGTCATTTGACTGAAAAATTATGGTGTGATAATTTTATATCTTAGCGGGTAAAGAAAGGTGCTGACTTTTCCAGGAATGCAAACTTGTTTGTTTCGCATATAAATCATCCCTATCTTAAATTGGTCAAATTAGCACATATTCTTAAATATTGTTCCAACTTTTAAATTACTCAGTTGATGTTATACGAAATAATCTCACATCAATAATTTCTGGTATGATATTTTCATATTTACTATTTAGAAAATCATACACAAACTCCTATGAATCCTACACATTGCCTTCTTAGGACAACACAAATCCTCTCAAAAAAATAAAACACCTGGCCAAATCATGAGATGCCAACTAATCAGACGTGCCCAATTATATGTGAGTGCTGCTGCACAAGACAGCTTGAAAAGCCCCCTCAACACTCTCTCTCTCTCTCTCTCTCTCTCTCTCTCTCTCATCCCCCAGACAAGCAAAAAATAAAGCCACCAAGGAAGTCTACTTATATTAAAATAATTTCGAAAATTCTACTTATATTAAAATGCATTCCATAATAACCATTACAATATGCTTATTATTATTAATAATTACTTCTCTTCCTTGCCTAATTCCAATTTCTTACACCAAAAATTACAAACAAAAACTAGAAAAAAGAAAAAAGAAAAGAAAACTTCATAAATTTAAAACCTTATCAACCTTAGCTAGCCCAACATCCATCCGCGCCTACAAAAGTCGATCAAACAGCGAAGGCAGCCTTCGGATGGAGAAATTAGAGAATGATACTGTATCACCACGTCAGCTAGTGATACTCCTATTCAAAATCTGCCACGTGTACTTTTTAAAATAAAATTAAAATATATTTTACAACTGGACTTTGGCTTACAACTTTACCCTTCCAACTTTAATGACCCCAACCCTTCCCTCCTCTGTCTTCCCTGTGCTATGCCCCTGCTATCGACGCCGCACAACCCTCTTCCCTTCACCCTCTCGCCCACCCACCCCGGCCTTCCCTCCAATATTCCCACCCCCTCTTTCTCTCCCTCTCATTTTCGGTGAAAAGTTAAACCCATTAATAAAAAGCCAAAAATCTTAAAAATATGTGCAAACCCATTAAACATGAAACCATAAATCTTTATAAAAAAAAACCACTAGTGAAAGAAGGGAAGATTGACGTTATGGGCAACCAGGAATTAATTGTGTTATAGAGCAAGTCATTGGGGCGGGCTTGATGAAGGAAATCCGCCAAAAATCTCCCCCTTGTACATCAGATTCTTCTTCTTCATTATCAGCTTTCATTCGAGAGGTCTTTTTAAAAGAGAAAAAGTGAAATTTTCAGAGATTACCCATCTTCTTTAGCTTCAAGGGTGTCTCCAGAGTTTGACCGGATTGTGTTTATGGGTTTTGAGTCCTTTGACAATAGAAGTTCTTTAGATTCATTAACTATGAAGACGGTGAAGGCTAAGGTAGGTGGCGAGGGAGAAGGGAAGACGTCTGGTGTCGCACATAGCAGGCATAGCGCAAGGAAGAAGACGGTGGGGAGGGGTTTGCGTGATTAAAAGTTGAAGGGTAAAGTTGGTAGCCAAAGTCCAGCAGTAAAATATATTTTAATTTTGCTTTAAAAAATACATGTGGCAGATTTTGAGAGGGAGGAGAAGGGAAGACGTGTGGTGTCGCAGATGGGAGGCATAGCGCAGGGAAGAAGACGGTGGACAGGGAAGACGGTGGGAAGGGGTTTGGGTGATTAAAGTTGAAGGGAAAAGTTGGTAGACAAAGTCCAGCAGTAAAATATATTTTAATTTTGCTTTAAAAAGTACACATGGCAGATTTTGAGTGGAAGTATCACCAGCTGACGTGGTGATACAGTATCATTCTATAATTTCTCCGAAGGATGAAGTTCAAAGCCAGCGACGGCATGGAAAGATCGGATGCCGCAGATAATAGAACCCTAAACGCCATAGCCACCATCTTCGATGGCACCATGTACAGTATCACTGCCACAACGAAGCACAGCCCCACAAAAATCCCCGTCGCACGTGGGTCCCGCCACGTCACCAAAGCCTGCACCCTCTCCCCTTGCATCGCGAAATCTCCCAACACCGTCTGCACACGTGCACCGAGCATCTGCAGCTTATCGTACCTCGCTCGCACTAGCTCGAATGATCTGGTGCTCGGCACCGAATCAAACTCCTCGTCCAGCTCGTCACGGTCAACGCTCTCATCCAATGATAGCTTCGGGTCAAAGTGCTGAAGTGCGGCCCGGGAGCGGAACCTATAGTTCCAAGCACCAATAACGAACACATAAAATGCTAAAGTTGGGACTATCAGATCCGGGAACCGCACAAGCAGCGCCAGCAAAGCGTGTACGAGAATCGTGGCCATTGGATTCTTCCACGAACGCATGTCGTTTATCCACCCAATGACATCCATCACCCCCGCAACGACATTGATGATGCGGAAATAATTGGCGCGCACTCTCCTCATACTAAAGCCTTGTGAATCCGCATCCAGCATGTAAAGCACGACATCCCGCCCCAGCGGCGGTTCAGATCGCGACAAGTGGGAGGCCACGATCTTCACCGCCGCTCTCCTCAACACATCTTGTTGGACCGGCCCCAGCGGCTTTATGTGATGCATCAACGGCAGTGATGGCTGCGAGTAGACATGGACCAAATCCAAGGTCGGGCTCACGCGAACGAAGCGTACTGCGATCTCCACCTCACCCATTTTTTTCAAGCCAGTGGGTGATAAAACCAGCAGCGGATACGTATTCTTATACACTTTACCTGTAGCCAACGTAGATATACGCACCCGTAGCTTCCCGATACGGAAGTCAGGACGCGTGGCGCCTTTCGAGCCCTCGATTTCGAAACCCGATCCGGAATTATCAAAAACGCCGATGCTCAGCAACGTACACGGATCGTAGACTATAAACGTGTACTGCTCGTTCCACTTAGGCTCCAAACTATCACATACGGTACGCGTGCATACCCATTTTGCACCATACTTGGCAACACAGTAGACGTCCGTGCATCCTTTACCGTTGACCGTCTTGACCGGTATCATGTTCTTGCATCCGATGACTCCGAGCTCCACCGTGCCGAGCGGTGGCTTCCAGAGCTGTCTCGCCGTGGGGCGGTAGTCGCTGCAAACGTGCGCCGCCTCGTTCATCACGTGATATCCGCCGTCGAAGCAAAGGCGCAAGTGCATTCTGCCTCTGTACATCCTCTTCTCGTCGCCGTCTGGATTTTCCAAGCTGAACCATCGCGACGCCACTTTACGATCATCCACGCGTCGTTCGACGGCTCTGAGTGGAATTCGCAGTACGCCCAAGGTGACCGGTCCCTTCGGTAGCCGGTTCTCTATGGTGAAAATTAAGTGGTCGCTGAACGGATCGGCAGCTACGAACATCAAGTCTTGGTTCCAAGACGGCACGCCGTTTCGGGTGATGGTAGACTCGGTCTTGAGGAATTGGAATCCGACCTGGGCTTTGACCTGGAACGTGGCTTCCTTCAAATTCAACGACGCCGTTATGGGCTGAACGTCTTGCGCTTCGAGGATGGTGGCTCGGAGATACCAGAGCTTCGGAGACTGGTACACTTTGGCTCGTGCGTTTGGATTTTTGGCCGTGTCGGTCCTCCACGCGTCGGGGAATGAATCGTTTGCCTGGGTGCCCATCTATGTGGCAAGCATAAGATCGCCGTTGATGCGGGCCCCACCGCCCTCCAGCCTGTACCACTGCGGGGCCAAGGGCCTGTCCGGCGGGTCACTCAGGGGTATTTCCATCACGTCGAAACAGATCCTGCCGAGGAACTGATGGCCGGAGGCCACCTCGTAGGCCGTTGTGGGGTCGAATACGGGTGGGTCCCAGACGGAGACTTCGAGGATGGAGGCATCAGACTGGTCGGGGGATTGGCGAGCGAAGGCAAAGGTCTGGTCCCACTCGAAGCAGTGGGTTTTTCTAGCGGGCTTGGATGTGATTGTTAGAATTTGGCCTGTAGCTTTCTGGTTTCACTTATTGATTTTCAGAAAGAAATAAAACCTTTTCAAAACGTATGCAGAGGAGAAAAGAAACTCAGAGAGAATAATAAAGTTTCAGTATATTTTCTTGCCATCCGGATCAGGTGAGAACGCTTATGTGAGAAAATTATATAAGAATAAATCGTAGCCATTGAAATGCATCTGAACGGTTGAAGAGAAAAAGCGGGCTTACGGTGCATTAGGGTAGGCTGCAGTTTCCCCTTAGCAGAGGTGTCAGGTCGCGCCTGGTTCGAAAAAATCGCGCCTTTCTTATTCCTGACAGTGGCGCCTTTCTTGTCAATGGAGTTATGAATGAACCCTAGTCATAACACCCAAATACCTACCAGACATCAAGTTCTCTATTCGTCATCTCTTCTCACAGAAACTCCTTGGTGTACTGTTTCTTTTTTACTTGCTCTTCTGTTGTGGCAGAACCTCCGTGATCGAGTAATTCTCATCTGAACGTCTGAATCGATACGTTTTTGTCGAATTTACTCCCTCTCTTTGATATTAAAGTTTGCATGTTATACTGCATTCACTTAATTGAAATTGGTTTAGGACTTTAGGGAGGATTTGAGGGCTTTGATTTTCTGGGTAAGAGTAGTCTGTCTCTGTGCGGAGTGTTTGCAAAAATATAAATTGGCCTAAGTAATTTGTGTTGTGTGTTGTACTTCGTATTTTTGTTTGCATTCTGGTTGTTTGTTGTGTTTTCGTAAAATTTGAGGAATCTTCATCTGTTCCTCATTGTAATCCTGCTTTGGCCATGTAGTGGTGTGAGTGTTGGGCATAATTTTAGGGATTTAATGGGGCTTGGCAAACAAATAATAATAAGTACCAGTAGAAGTAGAACGCATAAGAGAAAATTGAATCTTAACTCTGAATATGAGATGATTTGGGATGCATAAGGAGCAATGCATCTTGTAGTATGTATCAATTCTGTATATGAATTTGTTGAAATTAGTGTTTGTAGGTGAAATTATGTATCTTAATGTGTTGAAAATAGTGTATCAGTTTTGTAACTTAATATGTTGAAGATTGTGTTAGTAGGTATCAATTATGTAATGTATTGAAAATAGTGTTTGTAGGTTTAAAAATGTGTAGATAATATTGTGAGTAAGTATCACTTCTGTATGTTAATGTGGTCAGAATATTGTCAGCACGTATCAGTTCTGTTTCTTAAGCAAAAGGTGTCTTTTGCAGGTATAAAATGGATTCTGGGTTTGAGCTTTGTTTCCCGAAGTTAGAGGTCTATTCTGCGCGAGTGAATAATCTGTGTGTGGCGCAAACAGTCCTGTGTAATTTTGGGGCGCATTTCAGTGAGTCGCTTATGGAAAGATTTAGAGAGAGCTGTTGTGGGCACCTGTTGGGACTCCATAAAATTGCATTTAGTGGTCAAATTGTGCATGGTCTGGCACTCCGGCGAGTCGGAGGACCTGGTGTGAAGGACATGATGGGCCTTAGTTATGCAATAGGGTCCAACGTTGCTCAATTCAGTGTAAATGATTTTTGTTTGATAAGTGGTCTAAAATGTGGAAGCGAGCCTGACATAACGTCTGCCGAGGAAGATCATAAGCGATTTATGAAAGCGCATTTTACCAACAGGAGTAACATTACTGGTCAGGACTTAGAAAATGCATTCCTAAAGTCCGAAACAGGAAGCGAGGACTCGTTCAAATTGGGACTGCTGTATTTTGTGGAGTCTGTGATAATGGGTAGACCCC